CGCCTGCACCACTTCGTCACTATTGCTTGCTTTCAAAGGATAACCCCATATCACACCAGTGAACCGATCTCGAATCACCAATACATCCTTATCCGGCATGATCCCATCTCTCGCCATCTTCTGAGTGTTCATGAGATCGAAAGTGATAAGGTCACCGAATGCCTTCAACTTCCGTTTGAAAGCTCCCTTGCTAGTCTTGTAGTGCTTCATCTTTGCTCTCACACATGACTTGCAGTATGGGTTCTTGTATCGGTGCGTCATCAGGTGCAATATGGATTTCGCCTCGTTCTTCAGCACTCCTGGTTTTGATAGTCTGGCTTCCCCGTCGACCACATCGACTTCCAATAGCCCCTCTTCATCTTCACCAATGTCACTCTCCTCTCGTTCAGAATCCGCATCACCTCCATGTTCGTCGTCTTCGGCTTCTTCGGGTTGGCCATCGAGATCACGATCGATTCTCGGGTCTTCCCCGTCATATCCCTCTTCAGGAGAATATCCGTCATTACCGTGTTCCTCTGGTTCTCCTTCGTCGCCTACAACGGCTGGATTGATATCGGATTCACCACCCCGATCTCTCTGGTTATCTTTCTTCTTTCTCCTCCGCCTCCGTGGTTTCTTGGGCGGAAGTTCCTCTTGTTGTGCCTCCTGACCTGCTGTGGCTTCGTCTTCATGCCCCACACCCGACAGTATGCGATGAAGTATCGTAGCCAAGCCGTCTGGTCTTGGTAAACATCTCCCGTCATCATCATTCACCTTGATGTAAGGTATGTTGTCATGCACCGATAGCGGAATCTTGTTCGCGTTCTGGTCGATGAGGTATGGCAATTGATTTGCCGGCCATATGAATGAGTACCCTTGTTCCATGCACCGTTTCCCGATGGAAAAGACTGATGGTGTGCTCTCCAACACGTGTGCCTCGGATCTCATGGGTAGTTCGTCCACATTGATGTCCACCATCTCTGATGTACTAGTTACACCATTCGCTGTCATGAAGCTCACGGATTTGGGTCCTTCCTTGGTGGTAAGGCCCATGGCATTGACTTTCTCTCTTGAGATCAAGTCGTGTCCACATCCCGTGTCCATGATGAAGCGTATCGGTGGTCCATCATACCTCTCCACAGCCATGAACATCGTGTCTCCTGGTATCGTGTACTTGACATAATCCTTCCTTACTACCTCGCTGGTGTTGAAATCAGACAGGTCGACGTTCACCTCGATTCCTTCATCTTGAGTGGTTTGTATCCATGCCTTGGCAATGTGTTCAGCAGAAAATAACTCCATCATCTTACCTTTGGCATGTGCTACTCGTGCAGCTATATTGCTCACTCTGAGGGCTCTCAACGACGAAATGAGCTCGGTATCCACCTTCTGTACCTCACTCTTCTTCTTCCTGAGGGGACGGGTGTTTAGCTCGTTACCAGGATCGCAGGGGAACGTGGTCACATTCGCCTGGTCATCGAATCTGACTTTAAAGCGAAGCTCCAACTCACCTCGTCGTACGTTGGGAAGTGCGGGTTGCATGTCCTCGTCATCACTCTCGATGTCTCCGCAAAGCATGAAGGCTGGCGCAGCCGGTTTGGGCTTGGCTTTGCCTTTAGCCTCTTGTTTCGTAGCAGGAGCAGCGTGATGCTGACGTCGACATTTGTCCCCGAACTTGCACGATCCTTTCTGCCAATTCCAACAGACCTGATCCTTCATTGGTTTAGGGCTAGTGCTCCTGCCACCAGGACTCTTTGATCTGTCACCCTTGACGTTATCTGGTTTCTTAGCAGAACTTTTGTGCTTCTCTTGGTGACTAAACTTGCATTTGTCTCCTCTAGAACATCCGTTTTTCCCATGGAAGTGGAAAGCGCATCCAATCTTGGACGTATCTGCCGGAGTCGCTGACCTGCCACGATCCCCCTTTGGCTCTTCGTGGTTGATCTTCCACGATCCTGCTTCTTGTCCTTCTTTTGGTGATCCTTCGGATTGGCCTGAGGAAGTACTGGAGCGGCGTCAAGCTTCGGTGGATCGGCCTTGGTATTCTTGGGCTTCGCTTTAGGGTCTTTCTTCTCCGCTGGTGTGGCTTTCACGAGGTTCCCAAAAGCTTTTTCCCTTTCTTTCTTGTTTGTGGTCTCGATTGATTTCCGTATCCACTTCGCCATGATCTCTCGTAACTTCTGGTAGGTCTTATCCGGATCCTTATCCAACATGTTGTCGTACACGGACAAGTCTAACGCCGTAACTTTGGAGTCCTTAATCTTATCCCAAAGCAGGTTGCGGAGCGCTTTGTCAGGAAGCATGTCATCCGCATCCATACCTGATAAGATCTCATCCCACTGTCCAAGGAATCTGGATAGTTGATTATCCCCAGGGAACTTTAGATCGAATAAGTGCTTGGATGCATACATCACATCAACGTTGTCGGCACTCCGGAAGCTGTCGACGATCAACGCTAACATTTCTCGTCCTTTGACCATTCCAGGAGTTGTGCCTCTCGCACGTCTCTGCATCATCTGTCTCACCTTCAGTTGTACGTCGTGAGATCTCTCACCTGCTGCGTGGATGATCGTATGTAGGGTGATACCTAGCTTAGCGTCTATGCTAGCGAATCTTGCTTCGCCCGATGTTTCGAGCAGAAATGGGTCATATGGTGATCTGAAGGCATCCGAGAGCCACTGGATCCAGTCTTCCTGTCTTTCGTCGCCCGATGCCGTCACGACTGCCGCTACAACCTGGGATTTCCAAACCTCCAAGTCGTGTATCTTGGGCCATGCAGGGATGTTGATCTTCTCGTGTTCCTTCCGAGATATCTTGGAGCCACCCGAGCTAGAGGATGAAGCGGCACCATGTTCGGCTGCGGCTGCATTCTCTGCATTCAAGCGCTCCTCTTCGTACCTCCTCCGGTACTTATTCCTCTCATCTCTGAGCCGTGCTGCATGCGCTTCGTATTCCATCATGTCCTGTTGGTTCTGCATCATACCTTCGTAGTACTCCATTGCCTCCTTCTCCTCGGACCTTAATGACTTCTCGGTACGTCCAAGTTCCGCTCTAAGCTTGGTCATCACCTCATTCTCCACATTGGGTTCTGATCCCATGTCTGGTGGTTTCAACGTCAGTGCGACCTTCAATTGTGCTTCACTTGCGCTTGATTCGATCAATTCTTCCTGAAGACGATTCAGCATCCTCTCTTTACGTAGAATGTCTTCTTCCAACATGTTCACCTTGACTTCAGCTTTCTTGAGTTCGACGTTGGATGGTTGAGACAGTCGATCGGATCCTTGAATCCTCGCCTGCGTCAACTCCTCGTTCGCCCTCTTCAATTGCTCCCTGATGGTCATGATGAAATTGTCCTGATTATAAGATCGGTTGCTGAGCTCCTCATTCTCTTCTGATAACCATTTGATCTTGCTTGCATACATTGCTTCCTTCATCTTCATCTCCTCAGCATATTCGTGTTTGTTCCTGGCACTCTGCCTTTGTAGTCCCACTAACTCCTGTCTATACAGATCCCTAATGTTCTCAGCATCTGCGACTGCAGTCATGACCTCGGTTACGGCTCGATCTCTTTCCGCCGATATAGCCTGGATCTCTTCCGTGCCGATGTTCACAACTTGGCTAACCATCTCTGCGCTGTTGCGATCAGCGTACTCCCCTAACTGGGTGAGACGATCCCGCATTGCCACACGATCAGTGTCAATCTGGTATTGCAAATCGTGTGCCGCTGAGAGCAAACAGTCTCTGGATTCTGTAAGTTGGGAGATTCTTCGTTGATTTCCATATCCTTCGACATAACATTCTTCGAGGTGTGCCATCACTACTTCGTGGACTTCGGTCTCGTGTTGTATAATCTGGTTCTGTCTCTGCTCACATTCGACCATCCATGCGTTTTGGTGGTTCAACATATGCACTTCGGCAAGTAGTTGCGCACACTTCGCATTCAGGTCTCCATCGGCCCGTGCTAGTTGTAGGTTGTCAGTGCTTGCCCTTGCTCCATCTCCAGCTTCGCTGTCCGACGGCACTGGTACAGTTGACCCATCCTCCAATGCTAGCACTCTCACAGCTCCGGTGTCAGTCCTCCTCCTCGTCTCCCTAGGGCTACGGCCTGATCTTGGTGTTCCCCCCGGTGGTGTCGATTGCGCTGACGGGGAACGACTTCGTGCTCTACCTGTCGCACCTTCTCTCACCACTGTCAGAGTCTCCGCCTCGATCGTACCTGGACTAGAGTTGTGGGATGCACTCATCCGATCTGCGGCCGCAGCAGCTGCTCCAAAAGATGCAGTGCTGGCGTCGGATTGTTCCATCTCCAGTGACTGAGGGTAACTGATCTATCCGATGCGTGTGCGTTTAGATGGTGTTGTGTAAGGCCGCAGCACGTACCCAGCTCAAAGGAGTCTGGATACGGCTGATAACCTGCGAACGGATGGAAAGGTGTGCCCTGGCCCCGTTCTAGCCCTTAGTTCAACATGAAGCTCGCGCGCTAAAGCTCTTTTTTACCTGGTTGGGCACTTGAGCCAAAAGTATATGGCATGTACCTATATAGCAACTATACTGGGACCTCATCCCTATTGACATATTATATATTCCCTAGTTGATTGGTGGGGGACGAATGGTGCGTTCTGGTAGTAGATGTGCTCGGCTCAATTCTTGCCAAGATTGCTTGGTGGCAAAATGGTACGGAAGGCCATTGTTCAGGATGATGGCTCAAAGCTAAATAGTTCCACGGATGGAGTTGGCTTTGCACTGCTTTGGAATTGCTGACAACTTGGTCCTTTTCTTGAACCCCAAAACATCTGTAACAAGTTGGCCTCTGCATTGCTATTTACCGGGTGCCAGTGCCCCGTCATCGTCATACAAGTCCCCCGTCGTCCGATCGCCCACGCTCTGACGTCGAGCGTTCGACCGAACCCCGCTCAGACGCAGCGTGTTTTGTTGGGGAATAGCTCGATGCCCCGCGTCGACCGGGTGAGTATGTACCAGTCGCACCGGATGCGATGTGTTTGAAACGCCGAGGGAGCGGCTCCTGCTCAGTATGACCTCGGAAACGAACGCGTCCCACGGCTAACGGCTTATATAAAGACTTGGGAAGCACAGACAAGACAGCTGGCCGTCTTGGATTAGTGAACACGTAACGGATGACACCAGGTTTCAATATGTTTCAGCAATCGTTCATGCAAGGATTTGCAGTGGAATACGGTATTTTGGAATTCAATTCTGGGAGATGAGAATACGAGGTAACCCAAAGCTCAAAGTGAGCTTTAAAAAAGATATCAAGTCCTCAATTTTGGTAACAGCCCCGCTGCTAACGCTGGCAGGTGGAAGAGGCGGCTGCCACCAGCAGCCACTGATGGTCATGGTGGTGTTGGGGTGATGGTGGAAGTCGTGGGAGTGTGCTGGAGGGATAGGAAGCTGTCACTCCACATGTTCAAGAATTGGTTTCCAACTAACCCTAATCCATTTCAATTCCTTACTTTTTCTTTGTGAGTGGCAACTGTATAGCAAGTTCACACTCCAATGGAAAAGTCTCCAAGTGAAGCACCATGAAAGAACTGAACCGGTTGAACCAAGGAGTAGCAACAGCAACAAATAACAAGCCTTTTGGATGCATTGTAGCTCGCAGAATTTCAAACGGATAGCAGCTGCAAGTCAAGCTGTACCAAGCTTCCGAATCAACGAACAGGCATCCGAGCGAAGCGCAGCTCTCCAAGATTCCTGCTCTTCTCGGTTCCTGTGCATCATTTCCTTGAACCAACTTCTCGCAAGCTTGGTGAATCTATAAAAAATGGGAACGCTACCCCAGACTCTAGAAGTGCCTGGTGCATCAAATCATGTTTGCCCAGTAGAGGGAGATGGAGCTTCAAAACAATTACGCATTGTCTTCGCGGAGCTGTACGCGCGTGGAAGACCCCATTTCAGACATGCCAGTGGCACGCATCCAGCAATTCGCGGGTCTGTTGAGGAAGATTCTGCCTCAGCGCGCCACACCACAAATTGATGAACATTCCAATCTCACTCAATCACTTGCTGCTCATGCCTCGTGCCATTCAGAGACAAAACTGCCGACGAGAAAGAACTGTGTTGGTCGTGAGGCTGCTGGTAAAAAACAAACTTGGAATGCAGGGTGGTCCTCTAGTTGAGAACGAGCGAGTGGAAAAACAGGCTTGCAAGATGAAACATTGCGCTGTACTACTGTACCCCGAAAGAATCCATGAAACTGCAGCGCGAGGCCTTTCTGGGTGTTAAAACGTGGCCGCTCGGAAACCAACAAAAAACAAAATTGCCAAGCCAGAATCTGGACATACAGTATCTGGACCATTTTGGATCCATCCCATGCCACACAGCCCTGCACACTTTTTGTCTCCGATCGGCCCACGCCAAGTCCTGCCTCAAATCTTGCCTCTCAGTCAGGAGGCGATCAATCCTCGTCCTGCGGGATTTCACCCTACGACCACTGAACCTGAAACTTGAGGGACAGGGGGCGGTGTTGATATGAAGGGAAGTGTAATCGTGTTGATGCAGTCCGACGCACGGCGAACCCAGGATAACGCAGGTCCTGCTCTTCCTCCTCGGCGGCGGCCTGCACTGCCACGGTGTCCAACTCACGCTGACCCTCCTTGGTAATCATGCGGCCACCATCCTCGTCTTGTTCGACCAGGCCCATCTCCTCCCAAGAATTTGGCGGGTTGTTTTGTTCAAGTCTCACTTCGCTGACAGTTACCCTTTGTGACAAAGTCAATGTTCACATTGTTTTACCTTGTAAATCTTGGATTCTTCCTGGTGACAAAATTATATGAGAACAGCTTGAACAATGTCATTTGTCAGATCCCATCCTCCAACTGCTGGAGGATGTAGCGTGCAATCTTTCCGGAACTCTTGGTGAAGACGTTGGTGCATGTGCCGCGTCGCTGCTGAGAACCATAAACCTTTCGGAAAGCGCCCACTCCCATGCCTTTGCGAATGTAGACCTTCCTGACCATCGATGCAGTGCGCACATAGAGCCAGTCCTCAAATCCGGGAAGTTTTTTGAAGGGCCCAAGGCACAAAGAACTGCACTGTTTTCACAGCTGGTCGAAAGCAAGACATGGTACATCATGGTACTCCCATGCACTTCACATCTCATGTAACATATTCTATGATATTCTAATATATTCTATGTAGGGCCCTAAATGTATCCGAAAAAACATGTAAGCCACACCATGCTAAGTTGACGCACACAGCCAACGAGTAGTGTTCTTGTATATTTTGGCCAGGCAGTGCATCCAAGGATCCGGATCGGAGGGTGGGAGCTCTCTGGCCTTGCTGGTCTTCACGACATCTGCCCACTTGGGGAGCTCGAAACGACCCTGGCGCTTCAAGTGCTGCGAGAAGGCCTTGATGAATTTCTCGGGTTCCACGTCCTGTGAGCAACAAGCTTATACCTCTCCAGCCAGCCCAAATCCACCCCATAAGTTCTCGACACGCCCGAAAACTAACAGGCTAAACAAGCAAACATGAATCGACGGCCTTTCCTAACCGTTCATTTTTGAGGCTAATAATAGCCTGTGGCAGGGCAAGTATCCGAATAGACCTTTTTGATCCTTTTTGGGCCACTCCATTCTTGGAGGTGTGCTCCTAGTTAATCCTGAATTCAGCTGGGTAAATTCGGCAATGATTGGTGGTGGCCTGCGGTTGGCATCCAGCAAATCTCAAGGGTGGAACATGCGCCTTAAATTGGCAAATTCTGATGCACTTGGTACTCAACGGTGGATACCTCCGACTTGTCGCAGTTTCTCTCAGGTAGGCTAGTTTGTCAGGTAGGCTCAGTGGCGAACACCGACCAAGCCCGGCATGATTCGTGGCCCCTTTCTGTTTATTTGCCGTCCTTCACTGTGACGATCTTCCGGCCCTCCTTGAACATATTGTCATAGGTTTCGATAGACATCTCTGCGACGAAAGCTAAGGCTTGGCAAGTGAACCTTTCAGCGCCTTGAGCCACAAAACCGCGTATTCAAAGCGTCGAGTCATGTGGCCATACCCCATCAGTAGTGGTATTTCACAAACACTTCTCAGCGTGAAATGATGGTCCATCATCCTGCTATGACATGCTCTGACCTTGTTGCTGTAAATTATTGTAAGTGCTCCTAAGAGCAAGGAAATTAGAAGCAGTAAATCACCCCGCGCCACAGTACTCAAAGAACACACACTCTTTCTAAACGGCAAGTCTTAGGTGACGGCAGCCAAGCGGTTTGAACCATCTGAATTAGCTCGTGCAAGCTCCTCACTAGCTCCGGTAGGGAATTGAATCACTAATTTCATTGCAACACCTCCGCAGCACTGCGAATTCTGCATATCACTTCACGTGCAAAGGGATGGATCGCTTCTCAAGTTTGATGATGTCCTGAGCAGTCCGATTTCCACTGGAAGATCTCTGAAATATGCAAATCTCACATGTCACGTTTACCCATAGGACCTTGCACGCTTCTGCCGGCATGTCCTGGTAAATTACCTCCTTGCCTTAGAAGCACCTTGACTTGGTTGACCTACTGCAGGATACAGTACATACTTCCGTCGGACTCACAGCTCAAGCCTGCCGTGGTCCAGCAAGTCAGTCCTGCAGATTGCAAGAACTGCATAGTGCCGCCAAGAACGAAGTCAGAGGAGAGCCTCAAATGCAAAACTGGCAGTTGTTCAATTACTCTTTACATCTGTGATCATCTGTGCGAGACACCCGTAAGCATTTGGTCTTGGGCCACCAGTTGGGGTCAGGTGGCAGTTCTTGCTTTGCACACCCAAAGGCTTCTTTCGAATCTATATCTGCACTCAGTCTGAAAGCCTTCAGCTCCACACTGCCAAGCACTGCCACCCATTTGACACCCCAAGCTGAGAGGAAAACATCTAGTTGAGAAAATGTTCATATTGATCCTGAGAGCTTGCGGAATCGCTATCAGTCCCAATGGCCCGGCCAATTCTTTCTCAAAATGTTCAATCGGCACAACCTGGACCTCTGGGATACTTCTTGCACTTC